GCAGGGTGTACCGGGTGGCAGATGTAGATAGGACGGCTAGAGGTGGCTGCTCTTGGCAGTCGTTTGGTGGATTGGGAGGCGTACGTAATCACTCTATTTAATTGAAGGCACATTTCACCATTGGCAAAACGTAATTATTGGGGTTCAGTTTGGATTCGCAGGTGCTAAGTAGCTCCCTTAGTGAGGAAAACTGAGGGGAACGTCGAGGCCATCTTAAGGTCCACTTTGTATCACTGATTCGAGCAGAGGGCGACAAAACACTGTGCGACTGGGTAAGAGACCAGACGGCGAGAGGTTGGAGGGCAGATGGACGATTGAGACCCCTTTTTCCGCGCGACTCTTACAGTGGGCGTGTGGACCACCTTGAGTCGTATGCCCTGGCGCCCATTAAATTTTTGCAATGGGTTTGTTGCTTAATGATAGGCTATGCTATGCGCTATTGCTTGCAAAAGGTAGGGAGTGATGCAGAGGGAGCTAGACCCTTTTTTCCTCTGGTACTGCCGAAGTTCGGTGCGTGGATGATTTCGTCCCAGGATTGTGAAAAGCGTTACCCCATCAGTTAGTGAAATAGTGAAATGGGCAAGTTCATCGGACAGCGGAGACTGGGCACACCTTCTCCACCAATTGTGGTCGCCTGCCATCTTACACAATTGGTGGAGAAGAGGCTGGCGCCGCGCCAATCCCAGCTCCTTCTCCCTCATCCCTCCTTGGAGCGCCCCAGCGTTTGCACAGGATTGTAATTCCTGTCCATTTCACCAGTTCTGCTCAGAAACTTGCCGTCGAGCGGGGGTGTACCAAAGGTTGTGCTGCGCCGCCAACCAAAAAAGTGGGGTATACATAGCGTGTGAGACGAGGGAAGTGATAATATTAGAAGAATCGTGAGACGAGGGAAGTGATAATATTAGAAGAATCGTGAGACGAGGGAAATGATAATATTAGAAGAATCTTTGTCATGGCAAAATACCATCGCCCTGTGTGACGGTCAAACCACCCTCTCTTGTGTTTTCCATAACGCGTCCTTATTGGAGAAACTGCCGATGGTCCAAAATGCTAGCAAAAAATGCCTTCTCCCTCCCCGATGGTCTGATAGGGAAGAGTTTGGAGTGACAACCAAGGGAAGGTTTTCTGCGTAGAGTCAGAAGGGATACATCATGAAAAGTTAGGGGAAATTGTATGTCATTGATTAATCAATTCATGAGAGTGATTATCACAGTATCAGCATTAGAACTTAAAGGCGCATTCCGCGGTTATCGATGTTTAGAATCTCTTCTTTGTACGAGTTGTGCGCTCGAAAGTGCCCCACTTTTTGAGCTAAGTTTGAGATTGTTTTTGAGCTGAGCGGAATGCGCCTTTAGAGCTAGACCCGCTCGCTCTTTACTGGAAGCAGAGCACCTGTATGTAGTCTGGCAGCTTCCACAACTGGTGAGAAGAGGCTGACGCCGCGCCTAACCCATCCCTCCCCCCCCCCAGCGTCCGCAGGGTACAAGACTTACTGTCCTGACATTGTACCCTATTTTTGGACCGTTACTATATAGTAGTGTGATTGCTAAATGCAAGCAATTTCAGCCACATGATCGTGCCTTTCGCAGTCGCCGTACATCTGTAACCAATGAGGGGATTCTCTCGGAAAACGAATTCGATTCTGCTGGCAGTGTAGCGTCGCAGGAGAACTGTGATATCAGCAGTGAGATCTTTGGATTTTCTGACGCTGAATCTGACGCCGAGTCTTGAGGACCATCGTACTGCTTGCCAATGGCCATATTAGCGTTTTTCCTAATTTTTTTTTATGAATGAGTCGTTGATCGATTACCGATGATTCCTCGCATTATCAAATTGTTTAGCGTTTATATACATATATGTTTCTTCTTTCTGTGTTATATATATGTAATTTTTTTGAAACCGTAGCCTTCATATTCTGGTCTCCTCATGAGGTGATGTTGTTGAACTCCTCCTCTGGCATGTTCTATTCAGTGGTATCTCCTGCTTCCGGCTTTACTATCCCTAGGCTATTTCATGTGCAATAGTTTTGTTTGTTTGTTTGTTTTTTTTATAATAGAATGTGATGATCAGTAACTGGTTATGCCTTTGTTCACTAGGCTACAAGTGCATTTTTTTGCTTGAGAGCCGCCCGTATTTTGGAACCAAACTGTTCTGTACTGTTTGTGTAAGTGTGTAGATGTGAGCGCATTTGTATGTGGGTGTGGTTATGATGATGCATGTGATTGTATGATTTCTGTTCGTTGTTCAACAATTTAGTACGTCTAAGCAGTATTCGGTGCGTTGTACCGGCCGTCGTGCCTCGCTCAAAGCCGCCTCTCGTATGCCAACGGCAAATCCAGGCAATGGCTCCCGGCATCTCGCACCGTCCATCCATCTCTCATATGTATTCCTCCACGCCTTCGAGGAGGACATTTGTCGAAATGGTCGCGCGCGCGCGCTATTCCTCCTTCCCACAAATGCGATGCGTTGTCGTTTGTGCGGTCACGATCTCTGCATAAATAGGGTGTGTGATAGGGGCGTGGCTTGGGACGCAACCAGGACAGATTTCTACCAATGATGGCAATCTGAGCCCGCAAATCTCGGGATGACATCATTGGTAGAAAAAAGCCACCCTGGCTACGCTCCAGCCCGCGCCGCGTCACACGCCCTATCTTTTGCAGGGACCTGACTGTATTGTGATGGTGTCTCAGATGATCATAATGAAAATGATGATAATCATTGGAAGCTACCATACTACTGAGTCTGTTGTTCATAAACTGTGAAATAGTCAAAATATAGAGCTGTAGATATTGCGTTCATGTGAATGTTGTTCTTTTTTTATCATTTTTCTCTATTTCATTATCATTTTCCATCCGAAATCATTCATTTTATTTCATTCAATGTCCTCGTGTAATTGATGTGTAGACCCGTTACCCCCGTTTTATAACCCAGTATTTCTTTTCACTGGGTTCAAAATGCAGTTTGCCTCTTCTATATGAACGCTATTGATTAGTTGTAACAATTGTTTAGATGATTTACTCAGTATTTTTCTTCTTTTGCCCGTTCTCTCATGCACACTTTTGAACTGTCCAGTGTGTGTATTTTGCTCGATTCTCAATAAATTATCGGTACTTTCAGTGATGGTTTGGTCGTTTTTATGAGAAATAAGTGTTATACCCGGTTACTCAAGGACGAATTAGTCAGCTCGGCGCTAGTCATTTTTTCTGGAAACGCCATGCATTCGTTTTCCTTTACTTTGATAGTACGGATGTTCCTGAACTACAGGAAGAATGAAAGGAAAGGCGCACTGAGATCTGATCTCAGAGTCGTTTATGCCATAACGGCACTCGTTGCCACTGCTCAAGCTCCAATCGTTTAGGTATTCACCACCTAAAAGAATATGCTTTGTTGTTTGATGGGGAGAGGCAGTGAGGTTGGGTTTGGCGCGCCACTAGCCTGTTCTTCACCAAGTGTTGAAACGGGTAAGCGACAACAAGTGGTGGAAAACGACTGGTACGAACGATATGGCAGTCTTGTCGCTGGCAAAAAGGGAGAAGGAAAAAAACGGGCTGCCTCGCGCCACACCCATCCACCCTGATGCACCATCATCGCAACGAGCAAGGCTCTACATAATTGCTCATCTGGTGCTAACCCAACGGTACAATGTAGGTATTATAGGTATGGTTGGTATCGTTGCAATCAGTTTTGGCAGTGTCAGGAGTGGTGGAGTGAACATTTTCAGCCCCGGTTGTGTCATCTACCAGTTGTGATCAGTTAGAGGTGGACTTGCAGTCTGTTTCACTGTAGGTGATGGGGCGTGTCAGGCGGGATTTGGCACGGTGTTGAAACTGTTTCGCGCCAGTTTCTAAAGCGAGCAAACGACAAGACTGTATCATATCGTTCGTATCAGTCGTTTTGCATCAATTGCTGTCGCTTACTCGCTGCCAAGTCGAGGCGACCGACGCGCCACTTCACCGCAGCGAACGAGGCTATGGGAAGGGGAAACCAGTCCTAGGAAACACCGCGGATGGGCTCATTACGTGCTTCCTGACACCGCACCGACTAATTGAAAGCATCGAGGGGACTGCTGATACAAAACTGCGATCAGCGCCATGAGAACAGAAAGAATTACCGTCTTCGTGGGTTCCCATCCCGAAATCCTGCCCCTAGTAATAGGCAGAAGTCGTCATTCACTAAGATAGTCTTAATGTTACAGTTTTGCCCTTGGAATGCACCTCACCAAGATGATTAGCGCCCGAATTAGTGGCAAGCAAATATAACCAATAAGTTTGGCCTATTCGTGTGAGGGCCACTCAATTCAGAACTCCTTAGCCTTTGGCCCAGCTTATCTACGCCTTGCCGTGGTGTTATACTCTTGTCAGCAGGGTTAAGGATGATGGGTCGTGCCAAGGGACTTTCTTGCCGCAGCTGCAATCAGTGTTTTTCATTTTTCAGCAAGCGACAGGACTGTATCAATGATCGTGCCAGTCGTTTTTTACCATGTCGCTTACGAGCTTCAACATCTGCTAGAGAACGGCCTGGCAGCGCGCCATACCCAACCTTACTGACACGTCCTTAATCCAAAGCGGACGAGACTGTACCTTTCGCAGTCGTCGTGACTGTATTGAAATAGCCCATAAGGCAGCGAAATCCCGCTCGCAGTGATTGAGGGATTTTTAGTTGTCCCGTATCTCACACTGAATTCTAAGTCTTCATGGCTAAGCTCACTAATCTTGATTAGATTTTCGCTCTGTTTCGCTCCGCCAGTTGTAGCAGCAATCAGTGGGAGGTATCAGGAGGGGCGGAATGAGCTCGTCTTCCGCTGCCCTTTCTACCAGTGGTGACAGGCAATCATCGATCAAGCGAAAAAGCAGTCAGTAGTAAAAACCCTCTTGACACCGACCCTACCGATTGCGGCGATATCAGGTGTAACTGAAAGGTGGAAGTGATGTAAAAAATGTACCCATGGTTAGGGGAAGAGGGTGGGGTTCACGCTGTGTGTACAACCACAAAATTAATTAATGTTGTCGTTAGGCGGTTTCTACCGTCACGTAAGTCAGCAAAAATTCCATTCGAACAACTCTTCGGATTCCGTTCCTTTCATAGGGCCACACCTGGCTTGAAGCCTAAAGGCAACTGGCACGATAAATTTCCAACACTTGTAGGATTAGTACGACTATCAGGACAGAAATCGGCGCCCCTGAGCAGGTACTGCGTGGCCCCTTTTCAGAGGAGGTCCCCTCATAGCGCCCCATCAAGCAGCAATATACCAACCCAGATGCCCACCGCGCTCGTCCGCCCACAAATGTCCGACCGATACTGGTGCTCGTATCGCTTCATTTAGGCGTACATATGAAGCGAAGGGATTGATATGAAGCGGCTGCGGTGCTGTATGGATATATAAGTACAAGCATGCAGTCGTATCTAACGTAGCGGTTATTGGCAGGATGCCGAGGGGAAGCTCGTCCAAAATAAACTCTTTGAATAGTGTGGAACAAAAGTGTTTCGAAGATTTCCAGCCGTTTTACTTCTGATTCTCATTCTTTTTTATCGTTCTTCCACTATATGCACTCCTGATACCATTTAAGTAACCATTGGAACAAATTACCGTGCCCTATGCCTCTGAGGCTGCAGATCGCGGGATCGATTACTTGCAAGTGTCAGAGCCCTGCGCGGAAAAGGAAAATATGGGATGACAACCTTGTATTCGTTCCGGGGTGAAAATTGTAAGATAGGGGCGCTAAGGCGTAGGCATGCTTACATGGCTCCGCCTATGCGGATGCCACTCCGCCTTAGTTTCTGTCTTCTCCTTCCGTTGCATTCTTTTGTGCCATCTCTGTCTAGTATCTCTCCGGAAGTCTTTGTGGTATCATGAGCAACAGGAAGGGCCTTATAAAGAGTCTAAGCAAAGATACAATGTCAACGTGGTATTGTTAATAATTATTTTTATTACTCACCCTCTCCGACTGAGCGTGAAGCACACTTGGATTCCTGCAGGTCACTCTTTGTTAACTTGAGCGGTTGAGAAGTCCTGCGCAAAGCACCTTGTCTACTAGTCGCTAGCCCTAGTTAAAGCAACGCCTTAGACTGTCACGCCCTCTTTTCGATTCAACCATGATTTTTTTAAATATTTTCTCTCTACTTCTTCTTTGATCACGTTCTTTGCAATTCTGCTGCATATGTATACAGTGTATGATGGGCGTTCATATACTGACGCGCGTTACCACGCCCCAGCCAGCTTCGCCCACCCATCAGAGGATCTGTTGATTTCCGAGTTTCATGATTGAATCAACGACAAGGGTTAAAGCCGGTGTCCAAAGAAAATATCCGTAATGTACGTTCGGGCTAGATAAGTTTTGTTTTCAGCGAATAGGGCATCTTTTTTGCTCCCAACTTGTACAATGGTTTAGACGTCATCTAAGGTAGGCGAAAGTAACTAGAACTTGAACGTGTACGTCGAGTGCTGAAACGAAATAGAATGCGTTACTGGGCTATAATTACTTGGGTTCCTATTCTCTATAATTACTTGGGTTCCTATTTTAACTTATTGTTCAGGAACATGAGGTACGAAGAGTGGTGACCTTTGTCCTTGTGGAAATCCCCTCTTTCAAAGACAGACTGTGCACTCAGCTCCAGGAGCAGCCACATGTGCAATGTGAAGTGGTCGGCAGCTGCAGTAGCTTTATTTTCTCCGCTTAAAACTGCACGGCAAGGGTGTTGTAGATGGCAGTAAATGGTGCCAGCGTGCCTTCTTGCTACTTATCCCCTAGGCAGTGCTTGCGTCTATACCAAGGCCTCCACCGAAACACGCAATACGTGGTAGAGAACAGCTGGAAGTGAGAGGGCGCAGACAAGTAGCGTGTATGGTCATGGTTGGGCGTGTGGTTGACCTGCCACGGCGTGGGTGGAGTATGGAGGCACCCGGGTAACACTACACTCCAGTCCTGATTCCGTGCACTTTGAGCAAAGAAAATGACATTCTGCCGCAGCTGCAGACCCAGTCTCCCCGCACACTTAAGAACCACGGTCAACAGCGGTGATCTTACAGATAGGCTTTTGGTACTGGAGGGAAGATCGTTCTTCCATGGGTAACGATAAACAGTGGTGGTATGCTTCGTGATTCTAGCGTGCACAAATCGCTATAATCCCCGCGTTTATTATTTTTTTCCGTAGAAAACAGCAGCAATAGGGGTGCTATGCCACCCCGTTTGCTGAGCTACAACGAATCACGACTTTAACTGGTAACCAATAGCAACGTGGTTGTGTGGTTCAACATCGCGACAGCGGCGGTCACACAGACACGGCCACTGCAGGCATCAGTACATGTACGGCGACGGCATACGGCGTTTCAGTCGAAGACGACAGCATCGATGATCATCAGAATCCACTCGAACTTAGATAGAAGTGTTCTAGTACTAGTTACCTTCATTACATCAGTCGTCACTGCAAAAAGATCGTTCGGAGTTATCAGTACTTCCGAGGTTTGTTTTGTTATTACAGGTAATCTCGTTAATAGACTTCGCTTGTACCCCTTGGTCTGCCTTAATAACAAAAAATTTGTGATGATTCTTATTATAAAAAGTGCCGCTGCACTTTTCCACCGCCTTTTTTGTGGAGGGAGGGGGGAGGGGGAGAGGAGTGGGGGTACTGTGAAATCCACCAGCGTCTTCATAATCCTTCGTTGTTGAATTTTTCATCCATTCTTTTGAAGCATCTCTGCACTCTATCGTCTATTAATTTACGCTGAATTTCCAAATTTCTTCCGAGTACCTTTTCTACATTTAATAGAAGCTAGTCCTGCTGGAGGTCGCGATGGGCTAAACTTGGCACTGTTTCCTTTTGTTGTCTCTTTTGTATAAGATGCAGAAATAACATTATTGTAAAATTTTCCATTTCCTTCTTGCAAAAACACAACTTTCATTTAATGTGGAATTTAAAAGTTCCTCTCACTCTCAATAACGATCAGGCCCTTGTCTCTCTCAATACAGTTAATTTTTGATGCTTTTAAAAATGTGGATTTTTGCGTCTTGAAAAAAAATGGATGGACGCATTTTGTTTGTGCAATTCAATGGAACCCATTTGTAATCACCGCAATACACTGCTTCATTAAGAGTATTCAACGTCCTTAATGGTCCTTTTTGATGTATCTAATGAGCTCTCCAGACGGATCAATAGATCACTATTTTATCCCTACTATTTTGTGCACCCTGAGGCGGAAGTAGTCTAGAGGCAAACAGCCCGCTTTCTATAGGCCCAATTCGCGGAGTCAAATTCCGGATTGGCTCCTGCCTATTCATTTTACCCTTCGGGGACGGTGCATGGTACCATTCGTCCGAGAGGGTAGGAACACCGGCTTGTACGTCCGATGCCCCCCGCAGGTCATTTTGTAGGCCATGTCGCATTCAAATGCCATTGCTGTTTTAAGTGCTAGGAAAATGCGTGTCGCATCTCAAAAAAAAGTCATCAAAACCGAAAACTTCATCCTATATGAACCCCGTTTTTTTGCTGCATAAGGCGTATCTATTTCCAGGGTCGCATATTCGCACGTGACAACTAGAAAGTTCTGTAGAGCCAGAACGGCAGCTGCTTTTGCCTTCTTGCGTACTACAATCTTTTAATTGCTTTTAGAAGTGTTTTATTAACGTTCTTATCAGTCACTTTCATCGAAATCAATTAATGACATGACATTTTTAGAACCATAGCACTGAAGCATTTCTAGAACCATTAATAATTTAATAGTCGGAACCGACTATTGATACAGTCTTGTTCGCTGCTGTCGATGGGGGCGTGTCAGTGAGGCGAGGATTGGCACGCCTCCAGCCCATTCTCCACCACTCGTTGAAGCGGGCAAGCGACAACAATGGAAACAGCTAATACGAACGATACGATGAAGTGTTGTCGCTAGTCACAAGAACGAAATGGACTGACGTTGCGCCAAACCCATCCCACCTGACACGCCCTATCATCCGCAGCGAACTGAAGCCTTTATTGATTCCATGACATGGAACTCCCAGGTTCGAAAACTATTCGCTACATAAAGAGATGAAACTAGAGAACACTTTGCTCTTCGTCTGACGGAACATTTGCGAAGCTTGGCGAAGGTGCGGCTTATACACAAGAGCATATTATGTTCCGGAAATTATGAATTATATAGTAGGATCTTTATCCGTAAGAGGCGTTTCTTAATTTTTGTGATGCAATCGCTCTAGTTCCGAACTGAGAAATCTCCCATGCTCTAGATACGGTGTGTATCAACGTTCCAGTATCGGGAGGTCCCACTGAGGTCATATTAGGCCTGGTGAGGAATTTTTCCATTGCTGGTTCTTGCCGTTTCAGGCATAGTAAATGATCCAACCGCTGACCTCGCTTTTCTCAATAATTCATAGTGGGTCAGATATGTTTCCACTCCTCATTGCTAAGTGGTTGATGCGAGGTGGGGGGGGGGGGGAGTTGTTGTCATCAAGAAGATGTGGGAATCCTATTGAGGACCGGATGCTCGATGTGCACTGTCAGGAGCACACAAAATTTACCCCCGTTCTTTTTGGCCAAATCCTTAAGAGCGCCTTTCTATCAAATTCCAGGTCATTCGGTTAATATCTGTGGGGAAGGTTCCAGTTCTCTAGCTGCAGTTCCCATCATGAGTGATCTCTGGTCATTTCAAGCTACTTGCGTGGATTTACTCACACTTTTTACTTTTGGTAACGTTATTTTCGATCGGTGCCCTTTCCTGTATTGTTGCATGCGCTATCTCATGAAAAGGTCGAAAGCCTAACATCTGGCGCACCATTTATCTTGACATTTCCTCATTCGTTCCCCAGCTGCTTTGACATTATTACTTCCTTTGATAAAGTTCTCAGTGCTAATTACATAGCTCTATTGAGACTGTTCAATTCGTTAGAATGTGGGACGTTCTGAGAACGCCTCAATAAAACATATAAAGGACAAAAAGCCTGTGCAAAGCGTGATAATCTATTTAATATGTAACGCGCAGGAATTGGAATGAGTCAGTAAGAATTGATGGTCTGGGTGCGTCACGGTTGACAGATGCGTCGCGGCTGCTCGCCATATTCGATCAATACCACTGGCTTTGCGTTGAAAAACGCTCATCGGCATAGCAAATAAACCGCATGATACATAACCTTGCTGGTTGCGGGTGCTGCGACCTGTCGGGAGGGTTGAGTTTGGCGCGTCGCCAGTCCGTTCTCCACAAATTGTGTAAGATGACGAGAGACAACAATTGGAGGAAAACAGGGTGGCGCTGCTCCAAACCCCACCCCTGGCACGTCCCAGCATTCGTAAGGAACTAGGGAGAATGCAGGGTCCCAAGAAATCATGCTGATTGCTTTCACTCTGAAATAGGTCAGTAAATAAAGCACTTGAAAATTTGAAAATTTAAAGACCTAATTTTTCGGCAACTCGAGCTGCTGGAAGATGAGGATTTGCTCCCTCTACTACAGTATTATCCCTTTTTGTAGATTCATTCGTTCAACTCATTTTATAATATGACGATAGATCTTTTCGTTTGTTGCCGTAGTTTACTTCGGCCTGACCTGTTAGAACTTTTCAGGACTTCTCCTATTTGGACCGGTTTTGTTTTCAGTCAGCCACTGGACACTTGGACTATTCCTTAACATATCCAGCAGTTAGTTTGTTGCTAATTCTTTGATAGTTAGTCATTGTAAATGTCAGGTTGAACAAGTGCTGAGTGTGTCATATTTTATTATAATTGGTCATTCTTTGCGAACACCAATCAGAAGGGTTCTTCAAGATGAATGTTCACATTTGGCGTTGTAATTGAGCATATTCCCTCTGCATTTTCAGACTTTCGCTGTGCCAAGTTTACTGTTATACTATGATTCAAAGGATCAATGGTTGAGGGCCTATAAGGAACTCAGTGTCAGTTTTCCTCCTGTTCTGGAAATTACCGTTGCATGTTGTGATCAAACGTTTTTAATCGTCCCAACATTAATGATCCCTGCAAGCGGCAAAGCGTGTGGCGCGGCCTTGACTGGCACCGCCAGGGCGGCCTTTTTCCACCACTGGTGGCGTCCTGAGCCCGCTACGATCGGACCAAGAAACCTGCCTCGGGTGCGCCACAAGCCACGCCCCTATCACACGCCCTGTAATTTACAGAGATCATGACTGTAGATTGTGACAAATATTCAGTCTCCTGAAAACTGGACCAATCGCATAAGCCATTTTAGACGTGTGAAGACCGGCGAGATGTACTAACGAATCATTCATTGGATCCAGCAGTGGTGGGCTTTTGAACAGTACTAACTAGGATCATTGGAAAGCTTTTCGAAAATTACTATTTGAAAATGGATTTTCAGATTCGTTTGGATCCATATGATCGGTCACTGAATACTTTTGGTGCTCGCTGCCGTCTAGTAACCGATGTCTTTGGAACTGATTGGGTTAACTGTAGAGGGACGAGAACCTTTCAGTGAGTGAATTACTGTTATTTTTATGATGTCCTGCCTCTGTGCTTACAAGGACAGGCCAAAGTACCATCATCTTGGCCTTCAAGAGGTTTTCTGTGATGAAATCTGAAATCTAATCTAAATTGGTATTAAATGCCGCATTATTTATCCTTCATTCCGTATGTGGGGCAGGTTTCAGCTTACATTGGTTCTCGAGATCCAATTTCTGCTTTTTCCTGCCTTATTACAGTATAGCCAGTAAATGAAAACACATTAAGCTAATCGAAGCCTGTTATGTCAGTCATTTAATATCTATTTATATGGCTTCTTCCTGTTATGTCAATGTTCACGTCCTTTTCGATCATACATAATACGTCAGTGGAACCAATTGGGGTGCGCTACGCATCTCAATCGCAATTAAAAAAATTATAAAGGTTTTTTGGAAGCTTATGATATTACAACATGCCATGTGGAGGAAAGGGGGGAGGGGGTGAGGAGGGGGCTTGAATCAGTTGTAGTTTTGAATTTTTTTATACAGCACTGAAAAAAAACAACCATTCTGAATTCAAAGAAAGGTCTATTTGACATGCGGCTTGGGCAGAAAGTGCTCCTTATGCTATTTCGATAGCCTCTGCACTGCACGCATATTCGGATTCAGTAAGTAATAATAAATAAGAGTAAAAGATGTGCCAGCACTAATTACCATATGCTGCTTTAATCTTCGTAATTCAAGTCAGATTTTAATCGAAATCTGTCCTTGGGATTGGGTTTTGATCAGTTCGGAGTAGGTGTGGCTGGAATTCGGTCCTCAGGGACAATTTGACCCACACGAATACCACATCCGTCTGACTTCGCGCCATAGACGTTGACACAAAAATCAACCTAAATTTCACCTACAATTTATCCCAAGCAGTAGTTTGATCTTCTGAACAGCAATATCACCTTCACCTAACACAAGGAAGCCTTATACGTGAGCTATATGCACCGGCGCCAAACCTTCGGATTAAAGGCGAAGGTGGTGTAGTGGCGAATGGCACACTTAACACGCACACTTCCTGAGGGTGAAGTCTCGGATCGGTCTCGCCTGCCCAAACAAGCCTTCCACCTTTCCGAGTCGCTAAATTGTCCAGATTCTTCTAGGAACACTGACTTATGCATCGGCTGGCCTCCGCAAGTCATTGTATAGGCCACATCGCATTCAATAAGCCACTACGATTCTGAATGGAAGTAGAATTTGTGCTGTATTTCGAAAAGGGACTGATAAATTGTATAGATCCTATCGTTCATTCTTCGATGTTACGTTAAAAGTCGCCTCGTCAAACCACCAGTCGAAGCTTCGGTAAAATTTACTTCCTGTGAAAATTGCGGTCCGAATCTGTTAGCCTGAATTCCGAATACTGTTGCGGTAAAGAGTAAATCATTATAAATGGGAGGCAGAAGTTTCCTAGCGGCGAGTGGGTCCCCTCCCTCAAACCCCTAGACGAAGCTTTGGTAAAATCTACTTCCGCTTTATGGGTTTGAAATCCCGGATCGGCTCTCACCAAGCCGCCCAAGCAGGTAATCTACTCTTCTGAGAAGATCGGTGCCAGATCAGATTCTTTGAGGAGAACACCTGTATGACCTGTACCCCCCCCCACCAACTCATTGTATAGGCCCTATCGTATTCAATAAGCACTACGATTCCGAAGCGAAGACTATCATTTTCTATTTAAAGGATAAGTAGTCCCCCACGTTGTCCAGTACGGGCGAAGTATCTGCTCTATTTAAGGTCAATGCGATCTCGATGGTGGTTTCTGGCTTTGTCAGCATGCGAAGACGAAAATATCGAGAACAAAACTTCCGGGCTACATGTCGAATACGAGCTCTTTATGACTAATGGTGAACCAAACGAAGTTCTTCGCTATCAGTTCTCCGATGACGAATGGTGTAAGTATTGAGTTGCAGCTTATCTGTTTCTTACTGGTGGTGTTTCGCGCCCACATTTGTTGACGAACAATTCACTTATCTCAAATTTTCTCGAGCATGAGGTGGCTATGCTTACTCAGAAGTCTACTACGATCCAGTGTAACCAGTCATGAGTCATAAAATCAACAATTTTATACCGATTCGGTTGATAAGACGATGGCTTTCGAAACTATCTGACTTCGACATTGTCGCTTTCGAAATGCAATGTCGCTTTTCCATCTTTTCTAGTGGTGCTCGTCAAATCGGGGACTGGCAGTGATTCGAAAAAGCACCTGGTTGGTGGCTAAGGAACATAAAATTAGTAACTAGTCGCAATCAGCACCTCGTGCGCATACCTTACATAGTTATGCAAATTGAATTTCTTGAGTACTGAACGGCAGAAAACGTCAACAGGATTTCATGAAGAAATCCTCGTAGTTATGAAATGGGATCTCGCCGTCAATGTCTAAGGCCTCTATTAGGTTCAGAGCACGACCTAGGTTGACGAATCTCAGAGGGGGCTTGTATTTGGTTGCGGGACGTAGAGGAAGGGTCGTATTTGGTCAGAGAAAATTTCTTAGCTGGTCGACACCTCCCCCGCGCCTTTTGTGATGGCGTTTCGGAACACCTTACAACTGGGATTTTCAGCCTGACAGTCGTGACCCGCCCGAGGGTCCTATATGGTCTGAGAAAATAACCTAACTCTGATGTGGTCGTAGGGCGATTTCGTTGGAAAAGTTTTTACAGTATGTACAGTCATCTTCGCTGCGAACGCTGGGGCTGTTTGGAGAGAGGGGGGGGGGTGTTTAGCGCGGCACATACTGTTCTCCACCATTTGTGGTCGCTTTCCCAATTGGTGGAGAGCAGGCTGGTGAAGCACAAGACTCATCCACGGAAGCACCCCAGCGCAGCGAGCAAGACTGTGGATGCCTCTCAGTGGTAGTGCCAACGACCCTTCTTGTATTAAAGTGAGTTTCCGTCACTGATGGAGCCTTTCTTGCGTTATTGGCTGAAGTATGGGTTTCTTATTGATTTTCAGGCTATGCGTGGAACGATGACGACTTATTAGCGAAAATAGGTAGTGTAGTGGCAAGTGGCGCACTTATATTGCGTAAATAAGGCCAAATACCAGACTGGCTCCCAACAGGGGCAACAAGCCCCCATCCATGTACTGCCAGTGAATTTCTACCAGACTTCTTCACTAGAAGTATTAAAGAACTTTATGAACATTGTACATTGACATCGTTATTTCTTGATGAAAGCGTGGATAGTGCTGCGGCAAGAAGCACCTTTTTAAACCCCACATCCTAGAAATGGAGCATCCGTGGCTGGGCACTACACTTGATCGCAGCGGCAGCTGCGCTTCTAGAGGGAGATTGTAGTTCCAGAACAGTTGCAAACGTGACTTCGTTTAGTTCAAGAAAGTATAACACGTATAACAGTGAAGGTTTCCACCTGAAATCCTTGAGTGGCATAGCAAATTAAGCAGAATATACAACATTTATATCAACTGGAAATATCTCATGCATAACGTGTCCTGTTCCCGCCATGTTCAATTAAAGTAGAAAGCCACGCCCACTCCATCGGTGGGGTGTGCAGTGTATGTGCTCAATCCGGAGAAGAATCTCGAAACGGCTTCTGCCTGAACCGACCAATAATTAAGGGTTGATTAGTCGACAACAGATTTCTCTGAAGAGGATAGAAACCTTAAAACGTCCATGGGCTGCCCTCCCCATCCCCCCCCCCTCAAGTCGCTGTCTAGGCAAAATCGCATTAGGAATGCCATTATGATTCTGAATGAAAGCAACATGCATGGCTCAATATAATGAATTCAACAACGCCGGATGCTTCATCGATTCCTATCCTCTGCCCGAGGCGGGTAGTACGCAGTTGGGGGTAGCTACTAGTAGTGGGGTGTTCTCAAGGTTTTTTGGTCTGTTGAGGGGTTGAAGGAATGCCAAATACAGTCCTCATCATTACGTACTGTCGGGGCGGTTCAGTGCGGCTGCGTTTGGCGCGGGCCAAAGTCGTTCTGCACCAGTTGTTGAAGCGGGCAAGTGACATTACTGTATTATATCCTTCGTATTACTCGTTTTCTACCACTTTTTGTCGCATACGCAAAGGCTGAGAACGGCTTCAACAGTGTGCACACTCATACTGGCTGACACGCCCCACCGGTCCGCAATGATGAGGACTGTAATTGTGCAAAAGCACGTGAAAGCTCCGAACAGATATGATATCGGTGAACACATGAACATCTACAGTTTCTGTAGTCGTTGTGAGAATGAGCATTCATTTATTTCTGTAACTAAATTGGCGACAAAGGATGTTGTGCTCAATTTTTTCCTATTTACTCATTTGCCAACTCGAAAATAAGGGGTGGTACAGGGGTAAAACAATCAACATCCCTGCAATAACAAAATCTCACGGGATGTAGATATGAAAATAGCTTTTTTTTGTGTACAGCAATAGAATAATTGGAAGTCAATGTTCACGACAGTAAACACTTCCAATGTCTTTGCTCACAACGGAACTTTGCTCATTGAACCTCTCGATACATGTGTTAAAACCTGGGGAAATCATTCTGCCCCCCCCCCTCCATATATTCCAATATGCACCGTCGTAGTAAAACCCACATGTAGTCTAATCCTCACCGTGTCTGAGTCATTCTAATGGAATGGTCGGAACCCATGCCTCATCATGGTTGGGGACTTTCGTCGACTCCATACGATCCCTGCTGAAAGGTGGCTTGATACGACCCCTCCCCCTACTTCCCTCCTCTGATACGATCGAGTTGTCGGACGTCGAGCGTGTGGAGGGGTATAGCACATGTAAATGGGGAAAGCCGTAAGGAAATTACGACCTTTTCCCCATTCCACTTTCCTAGGTTTCCCCAGTTTCTAAAAGTGAAGCCATTCATTGAATGCAGTAGGTGGTTGGCTCTTAAAAGCAATAGGGCACATGATTCCCCAAGACCTTCAAGACTAATTCGCCTAGCAGGACGGAATTCGGCTCTCATGAACAGACTCTGCGTGGGCCTTTTCTGAGGAGGGTACTTTATAGCGTCTTGTCAAACCGCAACATACCGCCCTCGATGCCCACCGCGCCCGCCCGCCCACAAATGGACGACCGATGCTGATGCTCGTATCGCTTCATTTGCGAAGTACAATATGAAGCGGCTGCAGTGCTGCATGGATATATGAGTACATACATGCAGCCGTATCTACCGTAGCGGTTATTGGCACGATGCCAACGGGGAACTCGTCCGAAAAGCCTTTCTGAGTCCAGTAGGATGAAGGCTTTTTCGTAGTTCACTTTCGACCGTTTTTGCTTTCTCGTCATTTTCTCCTATTCCATTTCTCAGTACCAAATTATCGCACTTATGCCTTCGAAAATCAAGAACGGGTCGTGAATTTAATCATATAGAAATTAGGTCCTGCTTTGAATCGAGCGGAACTATTATTTTCACAGAATTCTTTTTGCGTCCAAAAACCATTACAGCGATGGAATATTATAATTCTTTAGTTTTGTTACTCATGGTAAAAACCACGTTCTCGCCGGTCACGTGAGGCACCGCGCAGTGTTGTGTTGATTGCGACTAGTTGCGAGGTCGTGAATATCGACAATATCACTAACTTCTGCCAGGTTAAAGTTTTCAAGCTGGGGATTCGCTTTCTAGTTCAATCTAGGTTGAACTGTGAAAAATGGGGCCCGCGAATCGATTCAATACAATTGTGCCATTAGTCATTTCTCCAACGCTTCCATTCGGACTTAAAGTCACTCTAAGCGATTACGATTCGTAGGCTTAGGGCTCAAGCGTGATGCTAATCAATGCAGCGGTGAAGTAGAAAGCAAAGAAAAGCGTCGAAGACACCTCAAATAAGGCCCCAGAATTGGACAAACATTCGAACAAGTGAGCACTACTGCACAGCCGAGGAAGCAGAGACAGAGGGTGAGAGATTAGGAAGATTAGATGGAAAATGAGGGAGAAGAATGATCACACAGAAAGCACGCAACTAGCACGCAGCTCATAAGCATTTTTATAAATCGCTATAATATCTGTCCCCCGATGAGTAGGGTGACTTCAACGGACAGACTTCCTTCAACCTCGTCCCCAGATGGGTGGGGTGGCTTCAACAGGCAGCCTCCCTTCAATTCATAATAATTACTGTGCCTAGTTCACCTACTGTGGAGTCTACTGTGGAGTCGCAAAAGTGGGACAACATGTAAAATTACGCGGCGGACTACTCGTACAACGGAGAAACCCTATATATCAGTCGCGGAATTTGTCATTCAAGACAAAACCCGACGGCAGGTTGAGGGAGTAATCAGGTTCAAATATGAGGCTGTCGCTCCCAGTGGGATTCCCCTAGGAAAGAAGAAAAGGGCCAGAATAAACTGAAGCGAAGGAGGGTCCTTCCGGCGTTAAGTCCTCAAAAGTCTTTCTACTCATTTTCTAAGCAACCTTTGTGCTCAACCAGCCTCTTTGTTGGCGGGAGTAATGTTCCACATTGCTGATCGTGAAACTTCCCGTCCTGAACTTCATCATTTCTCAAATATAGAAAAGGACCATCTCACATATTCTGGTTTCATTTTGCTTACACAGTGAAAGTTGTTGTGTTAGGAAGATATCGCTGTCTGGACAGCGGCAAATAGAATATTCCATCAAGTGCAAGTCAGGATTCCATACATGTTATTTCAACAATACCGACGCGAAAAAGCAACGCCGGAAGTAAAAATGGGGACCATCTGCGGGAAGGCATTTTTGGGAGGCCCACAATAGATATTTTGGATTTGACCGCAGAAGTCCCGGCTATTTCACATGCGTTTATTTGGGATTTTCCACGCTTTCGATTTCCACTAGCTAGGATAAAGATGCCCATTTCATACCTACTTTGCTGCTTCAATCACAGCCAAACCGATGAAAATAGTCATCAGAGATGGAGCCGCTGACTTCGCTGACAATAAAACAAACACGGACCAATCTTTATTT